CTGAGCCCTGGCTGAGTGGCTCAGTTGGTTGGAGTATCATTCCAAAAAAAAAAAGGTTTCCAGTTTGATTCCCACTCCGGGGACATACTAGGCTGTGGATTTGATCCCTGTCAGGGCCCTTATGGGAGGCAACCAGTCAATCAATGTTTCTCTCTCACATGTGTCTGTCTGTCTCTCTCTCTCTCTCTCTTCTCTCTTTCTCTTTCTCTGTCATATCAATAAATGTATCCTTGGGTGAGGGTTGAAAAAAAGAGAGAAGGCCGAGGAATTGAGCGCAGGCCCCAGACCATAGTGAGCCAGGTGAGGGTGGAGATGAGGGCGGGGTCTGGATTAGCCGGGGCCATATTAGCCGAGGGAAGAAACTGATTTTGTGCATTGGACAGTGTTAGCCATCGCAGAACCCTGAGCAGGGAAATAATGGGATCAGCATTCCTGCAGAAAATTGCTTCATTCTGCACAAAACCAGAGAGCGCAGATTTTACTCTCAAACCCCCAACATAGGTGATGAGGGCAGTGACGTAGAACTCCTGAGGGATGCTTGAATATGTCAGGACCCCTCCTCCTTTCCTCTTGTAGGGCTGGGATTGGAGAGGGAGGAAGGGAGCTGAGGTGGCTGAGTTCAGTGTAGGCTTCCATGTGGGCAGTGGAAGGAATGTCGGTCCAAGAACGGCATCTAAGAGATGGTATCAACATGAGTCTGCGATGATGATCGACAGAGGCAGGTAAAGAAGGCAAAGAAGAGAATTCTGTGCAAGAGGGAGCAGCATAGGCAAACATTCAGAGGCATATTATGAAAATTAAAAGTCAGTTAGTATATCTCCAGCTCCTGGTGCATGCAGGGGTGAGGAGGGAGGAGGAATGGAAGACATGTATGTAACACAGTGCAGTGTACGGAGAGCTAGATAACGAAGACCATCTTATGCCAGGCAAGGGAGTTTGCGCTTCATCTCTAGGACAGTGGGAAGGAGCCCCCAAAGAATTTAGACAGAGGTAGGTATAACCATCAAAGTTGCATTTTTAGAAGAATTGTCCAGGAAGGAGTACAGAAAACCAATTGTCCAAAAAGGAGTACAGAGTTGGAAGGGGCAAGATTTCAAGAGAGGATATAAGTTGGGAGGCCAAAGCTCTCATCGGGCCTTTGAAGATGGCCTGAATAAAGTAGAAGCAGTTGAGTTGGAGAAATGCTGGGTAGAGAAATATTTAAGATAATAAATTGACAGGTCCTGGTGAGAAACTGAGATGGGGAGCTGAGGGAAAGAGAAAGGAGTCAGAAATGATGCCCACTTGACTCTGCCCCCAAATGGTTTCTTGAGCAATAGCTTCCATGAGATTGGCGAACAGCCCGAGGAACACAAGTGGAAAAGCGTGTGTACCAAAAAAGATAGTGTGTGTCATACTGCGTTTTTGTTGAGGACCCTTTGGACACTCAGAGGAAGCATTTGATGAGTGCTTAGATATTTGACTTGAGACTCCTGAAAGAGAAATGAGCAGGAAATAAGGGCATATATTTGGGAGTCCTCTGCCCTAGGTGGTCACTGGGACCATGGGAGGAGAAAGGGACCACCCGTGGCTATATAACGAGTGAGAAGAGCAACAAGGACAGATCTCTCAGACACTTCACATAGGTAAGGCCAAGCAATGGGACAGAACCAACTGGAAAAGAGGTAGGAAAGCCAAAATAATATCATGTCCTGGGAACAAGGGAAAGAGAACAAATGCGTAAGAAATGGTCAAGTGGTACAAAACGTGGAAGAGAATTCAAGTAAAATAAAGGTAGAAAGTGGTCCGTCAGAGTGAGCAGCAAAGATGGCGTGGTTCCTCGCAGCAGGACCAGTTTCAGTGGAATGGGGCAGGCGGAGCACGTGTTGCAGTGGTCAAGAAGGGAGGGCCTGGAGAGGGACCGTGTGGAAGCTTCTTTTCCAAGAGGTTCTCTTACTCCTGGAAAGGGCACAATGTCTCTTGTTAGAACATGTATTCTGATTTTTTTTTTGGGGGGGCATTGAAAGTATGATCACCAGACTTCTGAGCAGCCTATGAGTCCACAGAATCAGATGATTTATGTGGAAAGAGAGGAGAGTAGAGCTTCCAGGGATACTCTCTGCATTTAACATTGCAAGCAATAATGTCTGAAGAAAATCTCCCCTGACTCTTGGATTTTTTTTAAGCTGGAAGTTAATTTCTTGTGATGGGGAAAAAGAGGGGACTATTTATCAATCATCTATCATTTTATAGTGCTTAGGACTCTAATATTCACAGGAGTCTGTAAGGTTAAAGTATTAGCTCTGATTGCAAAAAAGGTGAACTAGGTTTGGAAAGGTTTAATGTACCTGGTCACCCAACTGCTACATGGTAAACCCACTTTGTGCTGGTCCAAACTGTATTTTCATCGTCATACGCAATGGGACTAGGACAGCATGAGTTTCTCCCTCTGAGACAGGATATATGAGCCTGGAGTTCATGAAAGGGAGGGAGAATGATCCTCCTGGAACAGCTAGTATGTGATTCCTGAACTGGACAAGGGCAGACAGCCATTTGTGAAGGGATTGATAAAACATGCAAAATGAATCAAAGTTAGAACCAAAAAAAAAAAAGGCATCATGCAAGGTTAAAATTATGTGAATAATGATGTGCATTCGTTATTTTAATGTTTTCCAAGTGCATTTCATTTTGAATGATATACTCAGATAGCACACGTGGTAAGGTATAATTGAAAAAATGTGCAGGAGAATGGCTACATTCACAGAATAAACATACAGCTGTGAGGAGGTTAGGAGTCAAAGGGGTAAGCATATGCCTGGTCCCCCAGGGACCTCATTAGTTCATGAGTGACCATATATGTAGAGGCTAAATGAATCTCACTGTTTGCAAAGACCCACAGTGAATGAGACAATGACGAATCAATAGTAATTAGGCCTATAGATTCTTATTGACCCAGATGTCTGAAACCAAATGCCCTGCTCTGAGATTCCTTGAGAGGCAAACGAAAACATTTGTAGACGTGTACTTCTTTAAAAAAATCCCTTTATTCTAAGTGCAGTGATGCTGTTCTGAAAAGGATTGTTGCTAGAATTAGTGCAGACTCTTGACTTCTGGCTGAAAAGACTGTTCTTATAGCTTTTGTTGTCAGCGTGGTTCCTGTGGGACCAGGAGCAGACAGAGCTGGGAAACAGAAAACCAGGCTGTGAATATGTCCTATCCAGATGGATGGTTCAGGCCCCATCTTCCATGGATTCTTTCTTTCCTAACACTATCACAGGATCATGCTAGAACAGAGTTTGAATGGTGGGGCTTTGTCAGATCTGGAATACAGAAATCACAGAATCACACACAGAAGGGTTGAAGTATGGACTTAAGTCACATGTCTTTGCATGTCCCCTCTGTAAAGGGTGTGAGCAGTTCTCTCCCTGCAGGGTGGTTACAGACGACCAGGTGCACCCTCTGGGAGCTGCAGTTGATGACAAGGTTGGTGATCTTTTTCCAACCACATCGCTGTCCTCCTAATGTGATCTAAGGCAGATTTTTATAGGTGGGAATGAAGTATCACAGCAAGAAGCAAAAACATTGGCTGGTAGGTCAGGCCCCCTGTGCCTCCACTCAGCGTACATCACAAACACACACATTCTCACACTCGTACTCACTCATGCACTTACATAGAGCAGTTTTGCTCTTCTATCTTTTCTATATTGGAGTTCCAGTTAAGTTTTTTTATTTAATAAAAGGGTTTGAAAACTACTGCTCTACTTGTTTCTCATCCAGACAACATCCAGGAACTTCATGGGACCCTTGGGAGCACAGTGTCACAAAACTGGAACACAAAACCTCTGAGCTGTCCTCCTCAAACATTTTTTAAATGTAAATAATAACTATCGTCTAGGTCTCTTAGATACCAACCTCCCTTGGACACTTGTTTCCTGGGCATTATTTCTGGGCGTTAATGGTTCCTGCCATTATTTAAGCCATATTCTCCACTGTTGAAGCTGTCCTTCCAAGAATACCAGTGGGAAGTGACATGGATGCCCATCTCTGATAGACTCACTTTTTTTCTAGAATTGTTGGGTCATCACCTTTTTTTAAAAGTGCCTTTTTAACAGGGAAAGGTACTAACTTTAATCTTTGTGACATGCAGTGAAATTTCACCCAGTGAAGTAGGTATTGTTATACCATTGTAATGTGTGGGAAATCAGAAGTTCAGGGAGGCCAAGTTCCTGGCCCTGGCACCGAGCTGGGACAGATGGAACAAGATCTGAACCCAGGACTGCCTTGACTCCCAAGCCCGTCATCTGCACTCCTTCTCACCCAAGCATGGAGAGACTGACAGAGGTGGTCTGACTATCTCATTGCACATGTGAAGAAACTGAGACTTAGGGAGAAGGAACTAACTAGCACAGTGTCATTGGATGGGTTAAGGTGAGAAGTCAGGTCTCCTAATTCCTGATCCTAATGCATTTACTCCATCCTATCACTTCCCTCAGCAAATTCCTGTCCTGAGTCTGGGAAAATGTATTTGTCTCCATTCATCATCTCATCATCATTATTACAATTAGCCACACTGATTTTTAAAAATCCTTTGCATATGTACAGTTTACAAAATACTGCATGTTCACATACATAATTTCTTTTGATCTTGACAATAACCCTATGAGGTAAGTTGGATGGAGAGTGTGTATCTGGTTTTACAGATGCAAAGAAAGTGGTTCAGAAAGTTCGAATAACTTTCTCGTGGTTGCACATTTACTCTGGGAAAAGCTGGATCGGTCTTCTGATTCCAAACCTTTGTGCTTTTCCCTAACACATGCCACCTATTCTTGGTGATAGGACAATGATTTCATAGTATGGTATGCTAGTTTCCATGGGTTTTGGGTAGTTTCTTTGCTAAAGCTTTTGGGATCCTGCTTATACTCTCTGGATCTGATGTGAGAGTACAAATGGTTTCTTTCTGCAGAACAATTTGCTCCCCGACCCTACCCCCCTTCTAAAAACAAAATCTACTTCTCTTCCAGATGCCAGAGCGTATATGCATATTTGAACAGTCACCTGGATCTGATTAAGAAGGCTCAGCCTGTGGGTTTCCTCACTGTTGATTTACATGTTTGGCCAGATTTCCATGGCAACCGGTCTCCCTTAGCAGATTTGACACTGAAGGGCATGGTAAGTGACAGCCAGTTCTTGCACCAAGGTGAAAGCAGGCCAAAGGGCTACAAAGTTTGGAAGAGGCAAAGTGAAGGGAAAGGAAAAACAGGAAACAAAACCAAAATGGACCAAGAGCCTGCTGGCTTCTCGCAGATGCACTGCTGTTGGGAAGGCTCTTGCTGCTCCCCCGATGACCTGCCGAAAGTTCTCATTGTTTCTGAGCCAACCTTCAGAGTGTTAAAAGCAGTATTTCTTACGTTTAGCTACTGCTGCTTCTTTGTCCTGTGGAGTGGCTGGAGGTTGTGAGACCCTGCCTGTGTAATTTTTGTATTTATATTAGACATGAAGAGTTATGTCTTCCGTCCCCATCCCCAGGCTGCTGGGAAAGGGTAAATATTACCTACCACTCATGGTCTTGCTTGTCACAGCCACACATGCGCCCAAGCTCAGTATGTCAGGGCTGTCCAGAGTCCATGCTGATATTATTAGGATTTCAGATGGAGCTGTGGCAAAAGTAAACTACAATTAGTAACTTAGGTTGGTGAATAAATTCAGCTCCTAGTGACCTTTAGGAGGTCACTTCCCTTCCACTGCAGAGATTCTAGGTCTTCCCAGAGGGGCCAGGATGACCTTGCTGGGAGAGGTCATAACCACCTAAGCTAAAGTGTGAGATCTTGGTGGTCAAGTGAGACTAGGTGGCTGAGAGTCCAGTAGTCCTCGAGAACCATGTTTGACGATGGAGGAAGCATGTGAAGGCCAGAGAAGTAGAGTGAAGCTTCAGTTTCAAGAGACGAGGAGAGGCCACAAATAATAAAATAAGTCACGGATTCAGAATCCAGAAAGATGTCAAAACATTGAGAAGCAGAGTGTCGGGTAAATTAAGGTGGGAGTTCAGAGTGAGGGCTGTGAGCAATGCATGGTTTACGGACTTCATGGCCTGTTGGCTTGAAGAACTTCAAGAATCAGAACTCTGTGGTTTGTAATTAATTTCACTGAGATTGTTCCAAATAGTTTCATGATGCCAGCAAGAATACCTGACCTTTATTTCCATTACCTTGTTGATATAATCAGTTTCTTGTAGTAAGAGGGAGTCAAGATAAAAAGAAGATTGGACATGTCAAGAGTTGTGTCTGTCTGGAGTCTGTGAAGTGTGTCCACAAAACGAATAATGAGTTGGCCTCCTCTTCCGGCCTGTGGGCGCTGGAGGGGGACGCCAGGAGCAGGCTGAGGGGACACAGGCCGCAGTGTGAAAGCTGTGCTTTTGGGTAACTGATGCTCTGCTCTAGGTGCAGAAAGAGGCTGGGGAAAAGACACATTTTGCATGGGTACAAAAATGAGTGTCTTAATTAAGACAAATATCTGGAGCCACATGTATTAGACAGTTAAAATGCTGAAGAAGGAGGAGGCATGATTAGTTCATAAAAGGATTCCAAAACAAAGCAGAGTTGTAGAGGAAAATGATCCTGAGTCTGGAGTCCTTCCCTTGAGGTCCTTCACCAGCCTCTGTCTACCCAGTTTCAACAGCCAGCGTGGCAGGTGCCCTGGCTCCCAGGGGCTTCTGTCTGTTTCTTAAAACCGAGCTTGACATCCAAAGACTTTAGAATTAGCAACTCAAGGATATTCTAATAAAGGTAGCCCAAATGCAGATTGTAATTCCAAAGGAGTCCATGGAGTAGTTTGAAGAATGCCTGCCTCATCAGAGAAAGGACTGACTTACCAAAGGAGATTTCTTGCCTGGGGAAATATGCCCAATTATATAGAAAAACCCTAATATGCTTACTTTTTAGAAAAGATTTTATTTTATAAGTATACTTCATGTATCACTTGATTTTTCTTAGAGATGCTCTTCTTTCATAACTGCTCTCATGTTAGACTTCCATTTGAATAGCTGTCCCTCCGTGAGTGTACATCACAACACAGAATGTGACTCAGATAAGACAGCAAGAAGGAAATTCTGGGTTAAAAAGTTTCCCCCACAATGGGTCCCCCCAAATCTGTCCCTTAATCCAGTTTTGGATGACATCAAAACACCTCGAAAACCATCCAGTGTCATGTTATCCTTCTGTCACAGCCTACACTGTCTACTGTCTCTAGCACTTACTGACTAAAGATTTATTTGGTACCTACTATGTGCCAGGCACTAGTAACAAGGCACAGTAATTCCTACATTCATAGAGAGTGTTTTGAGGGAAGGAAGGGCAGTGCTTGATAAAATGTATACATAGCAACTAGAATTGTCAAGATAATCCCTGTGGGGGAAGAACCATATATGATTTCTTCTTTTGGCTCCTGAAACATTTCCCTGGGCACATGCTAAGAGTTTAATATGTACTTATTGACAACTGGTAGTACAGAAATAATAAAGACATCATTCATTTCTTTAGAAAAATATATATATGAACAGTTTCATATTTTAAATAATGAATTCTTATTATTTATATGATAAGTATTTAATACCAATGTTAATGTTCAGGTTAATTAAGAGAAAAGGCTCCCATTTTTGTTATAATTGGGAGCACTTTTGTTTATCAGTTAATTAATGATCTGAGCAAACACAGGCCTGGTTGCCATTGGTGGGGGATATAGGAGTATCCCGCCACAGCTCCAGCCCTCTGGAGTGTCACTGTGTTTGCGGGCAGACAGCATACAAACAGGCAGTAGGGATGCTGGCTCAAGTCCAGGTGCCACTCAGGGTCCCAGGCTCCCTAGATGCATCAGAGAGGATTGCCCCACCTGGTCTCAGGAGTCTGCAAAGGCTTCAGATGGGAGGTGACCAGGCGGCATGGACACCGAGGGCCGTGGGGAAAAGGGTCGGGGCCGGGGGACCATAGTGCGTGTGGTGTTCTGGAGGAGAGGCGAGAGAATGGCTATAGATGTCTACAGCTTGGGCTCCGTGTATCACTGTCTTACCAGTACTAGGTTGCATTTAGCGTTTTATCTTGATCATTTTTAAAAAAGGTGTTTTCTTAGAAAACCACAGAGCACTCCCTACACTCCTTCTGTTGCAGCAGCATCACACTCTCCGAGTTCTTTACCCTCACTTTGATGACGTTCATTCATTCAGGGAGTGCTTACTGACCACCTACTATGAACACAAAGGGAAAAGAAGCTGTATCTGTCCCCAGTGTACAGGAAAGTAAGGAAGATCATTGTCGTGCATCTCTCTGTGTGTGTACATGTAATCGTCATGCAGTTTGATCCTGTAATACAGACATCTCTGCAAGCTGAAGGAGGTGCTCAGTAAATATCTGACTTGGACATACTTTTTAAAGCAGCATTTGGCCAGCGAGCCTTCATGTAGCCTTTCTCTACGTCACTTGAAAATAGCTGTGAAGATGCAAAAAAAGCCTAAACTCGTGCTGACTTTGACAATTCGATGATATTTAGCTAGGAAAACTAGAACTGCCATTCTCAGGGAGAATCTGGGAGGGTTTTCCAGAACTGAAAAGATTAAATGTAAGTTGTTTGATAAGCAGAATATATGGCATATGAACAAATAAACCCCCCGCCTTGCAAGAGTTTGGACCTCTCTTCTTTCTGCTCACCTCACTTAAAACTGCAAAGCCTCTTTAAGACTAAAACGAGGCAGGCATCCCTCTACTCTGCTGCTGTGGTGAGGGCTTTTTGTTTTGTTTTGTTTTGCTTTTTGGAAGCAGCAGTGAGTTTAATTTCCCAGAACTCTTCTACAACCCAAACCTTATCTTCCCGTTCAGTTCAGTCCATTAGAAAACTGCCAAGAAGCCCACGGGGCAGGAAGTCAGATTTTGGATCATTGGTGATGCTCTGCCTTCTGAGAGTCCTGAGTAAAACTGGTCACAGGGCAGGATGAGAAAACCCTGTGACCTGAGAGGAGGGGTGTATGTAGTTTTACATGTCGCCTGTCTGCTCTGGATTAGAAAGGCAGTAGTGACACCCCTCTTGCCAACAAATCTACAGAAGATAAAAACTGCCACCTCTGGGAGTTGGCAGTGAGTTGTGCCAAATCCAAGTTCAGTGAGAGGGGCTGGGAGTGAATCATGTGGACTGAGTGCTGGGAAGCACTGAATATGTATGGCTCCAGTTAGAATGAATAAAAAAGTAATAAAGTGAATCCATTAGGAAAAACATGTTGCATACAAAGAAAAAGAAATACTATTTTGAACACTTAAGGGAAGGCCTCTTAAAACTTATTTACTACTAAAACCAAAAGAAAACATTAAAAATTCTTTGGCATGTTCAATTGGATTTTTTAAGGCACATCTCTGTGAAATAGGGCAGAAACTTAATAGGAATAAAATGAGTTCAGTTGAAAAGTCAGTGGAATGAGAAGAAAAAAGAAATGATAAAGACAACCAGAAATACAACAGCAGAATTAAAACCTGCATTGAAGGCAATAAAAATTATAGTTTCTTACTAAAGAAAATAAGATTAGAGCTGTTGTAAGATGTAGCATATATGTTAAATTTTTTAGAAAAACAGTTTGAGGGGGGGGGATATGGCTTCTTTACTTTATAAATTTCAACAGTGCCCAGGTCAGAGAAGTCATCGAGTATTACCTGTGGTTAAGCAATTATTTTAATCTCTATTTGCCAAATGAGGAATGAATAGTGACCTGCCTGAGGTCACAATGCCAAGAAATGGCAGAGCGTCAAAAAACCCCAAAATATGAATCCTGACTTTTAGGATGCACACCCCCATGAGGCCGCCTTAAGTCTTCATCTTTCTTTCTTAGCCTCACCCAAGGACATTGTTTCATTGCCTGCAGAGAGGGGAGGGAGGGAGACGACAAGACAGAGAAACATCGGTGTAAGACAGAAACACTGATTGGTTGCCTTTTCCTATGCACCACAACCAGGGATCGAACCCACAGCCTGGGCTTGTGCCTTGACCAAGAATCAAATTCACGACCTTTGGTCCATGGACCAATGCTCTAACCAATTGAGCTACATGGATCAGGGCCTGCCTTAACTCTCAACTCTGGACTTTGCAAAAGGTGTCGAGGACTATAAAAAAGGGAGTCCCAACAGCTATGTCATGTG